AATCACAATAGTATTAGAGAACTAAATACAAGAATACAAAAACATAAAATAAGAGCCACTGGATTCATCAGTCAGTAACAAAAAATGAAAATGAAATTGAAATCAGGCACAAAGTCTCCATTATCATATACTTCTCCTATACACTCTCTCACAGGACTATACCTCCACATGAAACTCTGGGTTAAACTGGAGGCCAAGTTGTAGATATGCATAGTTTAATAGGGAAAATTTTTGAAATAAAGCCAAAGTTTTAAGAGGATATTTTCTGTTAAAGTAATATTGCAGAAACAAGTTAGAGGATATGTAGAATTAAGAACCCCTAAACAACCTTAACCCTGCCCCCACCCAAAATTATGAGACAGCCTTATGCCTGTACCTTACATCTTCTACACAATCATATGAGCCACATACTTCCAATGAACTGTATCATAATAGATGTATTTCTGCATTGTAACACCCACCACTGCATATTCACTATCTTGAACATTTGGGACTATCCTCCAATTTACCCTCAATTGACAAGACAGCATGGAGTTCCTTAACTCTGTATTTCCACACTTTGTTGTTTGTTAGACTATTTTCATTTTTACCTTAACCAAAAAAGTCTTGACTTTCCAATAATTTGTTTGTTTACCTCAAATATTTTAATAAGATGCCATCCTTTTAATCTATTGACACATACAGTAGTACAGCGTTCCCTTCAGTTTAACTAAGCTTTTTGTGCCTGAGAATCTCCTTAGATTCTTCTAGGGAGTCATTTATTTCCCACCAAGTATACAACCTAAATTAAAGATGTGTTTATTAGCATATTTCTGTCTCTTTCATGCTAGACCTGCACCAGCATTTCTTCAAAACTACATGGATTTCTTAGGCCTTCAACTTGCCAGGATCAGCTCCAGGTCCACAAAGCGATCCTATATATTTTATAATAATCTTTCTATCCAACTGGTTCAGGTTTAGAATGTAAGAAGTATGCATGCCTCAGTGAGCCTATGGAGACAAAGCCTGGGTCTCCTATGCATCCATGCCTCCTAAATATTTTATATTGTCCCTGGATGGTTTCTCAACTTTGTATGAAAAAGTATAGTAATTTATTAATTTTTCTTATTTGGAGGCACAGGATGGTTGGGTGTATGTGGTCATTGTGGTGTTTGGCCATATGTGGGGGAAGGGAAGGAAGCATGCTAAATATTATGTGAGTAAAAAATTAATAGTTTTGTAATGGCATTTGGGAAGCTCACAGAATCTACAAATCTCCTTTTTTCCTTGAACAGCATGAATTCCCTCCCCTGCTCCTCTCCCCCCACCCATAGACAGATCAAAGTACCATTATTGCTAAGGAAAATGCTGCCGTGTAAAAATTTTGTTACCTGCCTCATGCAGGAAAGGGATGAAGATTCTGTAGCCACTGGCTTCCCCTCACACAAAGTGAGGTGAAGTATGTGTGAAGATTTTACCGCTCACTACCTGCCTCCACTATGCAAGGATCTGAATTATATCATCACATTCTCCTGTGGGATAAAGGTTGAAGATGCCACCATTGGAGAAGCATGGGTCCTTAATGGAGGCTTTTCTCAGTGAGCTTCCCATACTGCTTTTTCTGAAGAATCCCCATTGTGCTGGGATGAAATGAGCAAGAGCAATCTCTTCTTCCCCCAAGCGTGGTTTGGAGGAATTCCCTGAAGTCTCCTGGGCATTCAGAAATTCCTTTCAGTGACATTTCACCCCTCACCCCCACCCATTCAATTATACAAGGGGGGAGTGGCATTGGTGCAGGGCTTGAGGGAAAGGTAATAGTTTCTCCTGCTGGCAAAGCGCCCGAAGAGCAGATATTTGAGGGGAGTGCACATGGAATGATGATTCCAATGATGCCTGTCCCCTTTAGTGCCACATTAGGGGGTGGAAGCAGGCTAAGGAGAAACGGTAGGAGAAGATACTGACTGCCACTAGCAGATAATTGAGATAGGATCTCTATCTGTTGTTTCTGGTTTGTCAAGCAGGAGAGCAGTGGGTGAGAGATGAGTTTATATATTTTGATGACTATCTTTGCACACAACAACAGGATTAGAGACTTGCTTTCCTTTTTACATAGAAAATTAAGTCTCTACCAGCCATTTGGTTAATTTTTCATATTCACCAAGGCCAAACGATCATTCTGATATTCATATTTCACCAACCTTCACAGTATCTTCCAAATTTTGTATCGCCAATCTTGAAAACTGCAAAACCAGCGCTCTTCAAACCAAACTGGAAGTTTCTAGTTGTCACTACTTTTAAAATTAGTTGTGACCAAAAAAGTCAAATAGACCCCTCTGGAAAGAATTACAAAGCCCACCATTAACAATCAAAAATGACTGGCCATTTACATAAGGCTTCTCGCCAGCTAACCGCCATAAAAAAATAGGTGAATGGATTGAGTCCCTCTCTATTATCCACAGAGCATCCAGACTCTGAGCTAGTATCCAAACTTTCTTCATTCCTGGAATTTGGCTTTATTGGTAACTCAAAAACAATAACACAATGTAAAATTCAAGTCTTCCTCCTTGAGCTTGCCTGGCTCTAGGGTTTCACTTCAGAACATGTCTAGTTACTCTGTTTCCAGAGAGCCACTCCTACCTCCCTTATATCCTAGGAAGAATGAATGAGCAGCATATACCACAGAAAATCAGCAAAATTTCAGCGGCCTTATGCAGAGTTTTAATACCGAATGTCACTATGGCTAAACAGAAGAGTGCCACTACTTTAGTTTTGCATCTAGATTTGGCAAATGGAAAGATTAGGTTAAAGACCAGACCCCAGAGCAGCTAGCTAGATGTGAAATTCTAGCATGACTGCAGGCAGGAAAAGCTAGTATGTGTGCTAATGTATCTGTTGGGTGGGGGGGGGGGGGAAGAGGGTGGATATTGATAGACAGTGCTTGCCATTCACTGAACATTTAAGCTGAAGTGACCACAATGTAGAATATCATTTTAATGAAATAAATATGACACAAGCAATAGAAAGGGTGCCCAAATGGAGCAAAAGATGACCAAGAAGGCAGCTTAATACTAGAAATCCCAAGAGAAAGAAATAGAAAGGAATTACAATTTTATCTTTCAGAGTAGCAGCCGTGTTAGTCTGTATCCGCAAAAAGAACAGGAGTACTTGTGGCACCTTAGAGACTAACAAATTTATTAGAGCATAAGCTTTCGGATTGGCTAAAACCCACTTCATCGGATGCATGCAGTGGAAAATACTTTGGCATGTGTGTGTATTTTTGAAAAATCAGGTTTGGATCAGTGTTGTAAGTTGTGAGGGGTGACCGTGAATGGTGAAGAATTATATGGCCATGAAAACACAGTCTCTACACAAAAGAATAAATGGACACAAATCAGACGTCAAGAATTATAACATTCAAAAACC